GAAGGTTCATCTTGAATATTTTCAGTCGAAGTTCTAAAACCTGATTTTGTAAAACAGTTTATGATCGTTTCTTTTTTTTACGTTTCGCCATGCTTTATCGCATAGCCGTATAGCATCCAATATGTTTATTACAATTTGATTATTATCATTTATAGCCGATATAATTATTTTTATCATTTCTTTTCTGTAAAATTAAGATTTTTATTTTTTCGGAGACCATTTTTTTATCTAATTTCATTAACCACAAATTAAAAATTTCAGACGTCATCCAGGTTTTTTTGTTCGCATAATAATCTAATGGTAATGATTTTATTTGTTTAAAACATCGTGGTTTTTTCGACTTACCAATCAGCAGTGGTCTTAATTTTTCTGTGCCCGATATATTTGCCCCTAACAGAAGTGTTACTCTTTCTTTACTATGTTTTCCACCTGAACAAGATTGGCCTTTAAATATGAATGTTTTGTCAGGTAAACATTTGAAAAATAATCCTGTTTCATCTACATTAAAAATATCGTCTGGTGAATAATTTTCGATGAGTTTCGGTAAATTATTTATCCATACGGAACATTTTTGTAGATCTACAGCGCCATTATCACCACAAACTTGTTTAAATACAACGCTATTTCTGATTTTCCAATTTGTTAACCATCCACTGCTAGCTTTAAAATGTTCATGCCCTAACTTATGTCCAAACTCTTCAGCTTTTTCTCGTAGAATAAGTCCATTAATTGGAATTTTTCTGTCAAGACATTGTTGAAACCATTTTAATAAACATGATTCTATGTCAGAGTATTCTCCTAGTTTCATTTTTTTTCTAGTTGCCGAGTTTTCGTTAAAGTTTTTTAAAATTACATCTTTATTTTTTATTATTGTAGATAATGTTTTTTCCGGAATTCCAAAATCTTTGGCTATGTCTTGTTTTTTTTTTCGCCTTTTTCAATAATTTTAAGCAAATTCACTTTTTCTGCAAGTGATAATGTTGTTAATTTTCTTTTTTGAGCCATAATAACCACTGATTAACACTGTCACACTCACACGATAAACGATTAAACGAACAAACAGACGGCAGAACTAAAACTGATTGTATCAAAGTTATCAACAGTTAAATTACGGTCGGGTTTTACGAAAAATAATCGCCTTGATAAACTATTTTTAGTACTAAATTTGCATAAGAAAATTAGAGATATCAGGAACTTGTCAAATTAATTTTCGAGTTAACAAGATTATATAAACATTAAGTGTTATTGTTATTTGAAGGGGAATTTTATTTCTTCGAGATATCAAGAATTTCGAGTTATCGAGGTTCGAGTTACCGAGAGTCGACTGTATTATAAAAATGAAAACGTTTATAAATGTATTGAGTAGGTATTCTTAAATGATGACTGACCTTAACAGGAATCAATACCATCATTTCTGTCTTGGTCTAACACACATATGGCTTTAGACGTATTGCTTTCCAGTTGAACCGATTCATCTAATTAATTGCTAATCACCTATTCTAAAAACAGAAATTATTAATTCATCCAGAATACTTGAGGTCGACGTTCAAATAATGTTGATATTCTAACCATGAAATTCTTAAAAACGTTCCTTACTCCTGTGTCGCTCAAGTGTTCGACCAAGACAGAAAATCATGGTATTGATTGCCCCGAATGACCATTTTGACTATTTTTGACTGACATCGATTTCAATATAAATGTAGACTTTTTGTATTCAACAGCATTTTTAACATCCTTTACTTTGTTTGAGAGTACGTTAATTGAATTTAACAAAAAGTTTTATTATTGCAGTTACATATTTTCTTTTAAAAGTATGATATATGTAGGCATAATCATAAACATTGATTTGTATGCTGTAAAATTGTACATCTTAAAATACTCATAACTAGATTTAAAATAAATATTTTAAAAATTCTTTGGGATTCCCTGGAGAATAATCTTAGCTTTAATATGCAGAACTCAAGATAAACGTGATCTGTTAAATCGATTGTTTAAATAAAATTTTCTAATAATTTTGAAACATTGATATGCATCCTTGAACACACCCAATCACATCAATGCTAAAACCAAATTTCTTTCTAGCTATTTTAACAATCTTGTCGTGTACTTAATGACCAATAAGGTTTATAGATTAATATTTGATAGCGATTAAGCGACAATAATATTATAGCGGCTATCTGCAGTAGATAAGTCAGTCGACGATTATTGCGTGTGTCGATCGCAACTCCGTATAGGCATCACGGCCGCCTCGGATCTCGAATAATATACCTACTATAATTATGATTATACTAAATAAAAGTTATACAGTTTAAAGCGGTGTATATTGATTATTTCATTTTTTAATATACGCAACAAATCTAAAATATCTATAAGTAATGATTGATTGATGTCTATTATTCAAACACCCACAGTATATGAGTATAATAATAGTGCAAATAATGCTCCGTATGTAGTTTTTTCATTAATAAGTTACAAAATGTAAGTACTTCTGTTGCCTACGAGGGCATTGAACCTATCGTATGCAATAAGTTTGTAAGCAAATAAAAATAGTTCGTATAGTATAATTCTAATGTATTACAAGTATAATTAAATTTCAGATGATAGCCAAAAAGATCATGAAATATACAACTCACCAAGTGGTAAATATTAAAGAAAACGTCATTTTTTATTATCTCCTTTCGTGGCTGAATACATTGCTCTTAATAATATAAACCCTGAAATTAAATTTCATATTATGTATATTTTATACTTCTATTAAAAAAAGGCTTTGAAAATTAAAGCAATGAAACTAAAACATTTAAATGATTGCATTCGTAATTATTACAATATTTAATAGACATATTTAATGTTATATGCAAGATAATTTAATTAATTTGTAAACAACGTGTATTAGCCTGTTTATTATTCTAATTTATCGAATCTCATTATTTTTAGGATTCATGAGTTATGGTACGGATTTTTATTGTGTTTTGTTAATGAAGTTTTATTAGCCTTATTTGAACCTTGAATTATCAATAATAAGACATCACTAAACCTATAATAGGCTATGGAAAATAGCTTAAAAATGGTATATAAAAATTGTAGGGTCGCCGTTGGTACAAACATCGTAATCTAAATAACTGATCTCGTTATTCCTTGAATTTCTTTACCGACGCTTTTTTTCCAGGAACCAAACACAGAGTTGAAAATTGAAGAATTTTTTTCCCTAAAAAAGAAATAAAAATTTTAGATAAAAAATATCCCCAATATTGCAGCTCAACTGTAAAGTGGGTTATAACTTATAAGTGGGTCGCTGTGGTATGGTGATAAAATGTAATTCAAGAATATAATACCATCGAATACGACAAACGATTCCGAGAAGAGACGGTTCGTCACAATCGTCAGCCTGTCTATATTGTAATATTTTTAAAAGACAAAATTACTATAATATCGTCATTCTTAGTTCAAATATCTAATTTCACCCAAAATTACTTATGAGATACCTAGCTTTAAATTTGTAATCCCTAGCTATAAAAACTGAAAATATTACAAATTTAATCACAAAATAATTATCAAATATTCGACAGTTATTTTAACTTAGAAACAATATTATAACAGCTCAAACAATATTGTTTAAACTATTACATAGGTGCTATAAAATAAGATACAATACATCGTATTCATTCTTAAATTCGGACTAAATTTACCTTTATGGAAAAATGATGAATTATTTTGGGACTCGATTTTTTACGAAGGCCAGTTTGGTCTAAAATTAGTTTCGCATAAGAATCTAAGTTTTCTTTCCTTTTCTTTTAGTTGTTAACAAATCTATTGCAAACTATTAGACGTTCATACTTCTGTTCAGAAAATATTACCAAGATAAATTTGACTATAATACACACACACATTATTGTAATATCAATATGTGTGTCACACATAGGTATTATTAATTTGTCGTGTACTACTTATATTTATTTCCATGTTCAAACATAAATTTAATTATTCATTTATTTACTTTCCTTTCTATCACTTTGTGGCCTTTTGCGTACCGACATGTAGTATTCCGCGTACCACTAAAGGTACGCATACCATACTTTGAGAACCTCTGGTATAGAGGACCTATAAGTGTACAAGAAACGATTTCATTATTGTGTATTTAATAGTATTCATTTTTAAAGACAATACTGACTCAAATCGATCTCCGGACTGATTTTTGATGGATTATTTGATGGGTATCAAATATATTATAACCTATAAGTTTGACACAGTAAGGTGTTATAGTTTTGTATTTTCAATCGAAGTAAAATATAATAGGTAAATCAAATAATCATTTACGATTACTAAATTGATCATCAGATTACCATACTTCTTGGTCTGTAGTTTTATCTCAATTTTAATATAATCTAAGAATATGCTTACTAACTAACTATTATTTCCAACTTCTTATAGCGGAACCTGGTAAGTTATATGTCCATAGACCACAATTTTTCCATATTTTTAGTTTTATTTCGATTGACATCTACTAAAAAAAAATATTCATTTTTTTTTTATTTAGATTTATTAAGAGGAATAATAGGTGTGTATTTGTTGTATTTTTTTAGTATTCCAAAATTGTATAGGTCATGGGTACTATAGATAACTTTCCGTAATAGTTTACTCCGATTTTGGACATTGATGAGTTACTAAGTTAGCCCCAATAACTGAAAATATGATGAAATTTCGTAATTTATAAAAAAAAACTGAAAATCGGAACATTAGAGTATACGTGGTTTGTTAAGTCATTCTTTAAGTATAAGTTGTCATTTTCTAAAAGATTGAGTTCAAAATGAAATTTTTCTATTTTTAGAATATTTCAAGTAGAATAGGTCCTTTAGGCCAGCGTTTTTAACACTGTGTTCTGTGGAAACTTAAGAGTTTTTTTTCTAAGATTTTCAAGAAAAGAATTTACGAAATCTAACAAATGCTTAGTAGTGACTAGTGACAAATAATTGTACGTGTTGCAATGAAGTGAAACTTTTTAACAGAGTGTATGAAAATAAGGTTTTTTATGGTGAATTAACTTTAGGTTTGTAATGGGAAAATAAAAGAAGCTATAATAGGAACCCTGTATAGTAGTTTTATCAGAGGCAGACAAAGTCAAAGGCATCTATCACACTGAACTCCTCAATGTATTTCATACATATTGACTATTCTATTTTAATGCACTATTAATAACTACCTAGTATATATATCACTATTTTGTTTCAGTACATTTGAGTAAGTAAATATTTTTTCTATTGTCCAATCTTCTTCGATGACCAGATGACAAATCGATAATTAGTTACAACGATCATCGTGTTAGGTTAGGTAATTGGTTTAAGTTCTTATTTATTAGAAACATTTTCAAAACGAGAAAATTTATAACGTAAAAATTCTATAACGTAATTAAACTCAATAGGGATTCATAGTATAATACCGTTATGATATTGTTTTATAACAAAATATAGTAGTTTATCGTTTTCCAATGCTTTAATTAACTACAGCTGTTGTTTTTAATCAACATTGTATTTCATTAAAATGTGGTATGCGTTTACCAGTGACTAGTGAGCACTGAGCAAACATTGGTAAATCATTTACTATTGAATAGTTATTCAGTGCAATTACTCAAATTGACTTTTTCCAAAAACAAATGTATTATTATAACTTCTATAGTAGTACATAAAAAATCTAACAACTATTGACTAAACTAATATTTATAGCATATTATATTATTTGAACTGATTAACTTTAGACAAGTTACATAATAACTTATGTATATTTCTAAGAAATAAAGATTTTAATTATTCCAAT